GTTTTCCGCTGAATGATATGTTGGGAATTGAGATTACAAAATTGAAAAATCTTTTAACTTGTTAATCATTTGCAAGAACATATGGAAAAATGAAAATGTATCCTGTTTAAATTTTTAGATAAAAAACAATCAAAGGTAATCCTTAAAATTAGGCTTCAGATTAGTCTCTTCAAAGGATGCAGTTCAGCTAAAACATCTGGTAGTGTTATGTTGAGAGACAGACCTTTTTTAACTTTGGAAATGAGATTAGTAGATCAGTTATTTGTAAGTGTCCAAGTAATTTCTAATTATTTTATCTGGGTCACAGATAATCCGCTTTTACTGGACTCCCACAATGACATCAGAGGATCACTGCTTAAGTGATTATCCTGTTACCTTCCAGCAGCCACTGGAAAGCTGGATTTTCCATTTGTACTGAGGGAGAAATGGTCAAATGCTCCAGACAAGTGGCCAACCAAATAAAGAGCCATACAAAGGCTGTTAAGAAGCAATTTCAATATTCAAAATCACAGTGAATGAAACGATAATGCACATCACATGCTTTATTCATTTTAACATGGGAAAACATATTGTATAATTTATATAAAAGATTACATAATTAAAAATCTAGATGCACATCACCACATATCACTCAGATAGACTACGACTATAGATGTCGTACTTTGGATATGGAATGGAATGATTTTAAATGTTTAATATGTTTTAATTTTAATCTATTTTAATTTTATTTTTTTGGAATTCTATGTGTTTTAAGGCATTGAATAATTGCCTCTATGTAAGCTGCTTTGAGTCCCCTTCAGAGTAGAGAAAGGCAGGGTATAAATAGAGTAAATAAATAAAATAAATAAATAGTTCATGGTGCTAGAATGCATAAAGTAAACAGAGTCTCAGTGACATATTCTTTCAAAATATAATTCTGAAAAGACTGGTGACTGGAAATACATTTCAATGAGCTTAGACTAAGAATTGTCATGAAAGTTATCCTACTAGGAAATACATATTTTTATTAACAATCCTTAAGTCATCATTGCTTAAAATCAAAAGCAACTGGACCCCATTTCAAGTTTCTCACTACTCTGAGATGACAGTCGGAGGATGTTCCAGCTTGTACCCTCAGCATGTGATTTGGCACACGCAGGTCAAGGGATTTTGACAACAAAAAAGCAAAGGAAAGAAACAGGCAGTCACTGGTCCTCCTGGAATATTGCCAGAATCACATTCAGAGCAGGAGACTGTATTCTTGGTATGAAAGATTTGCTAAATTGTTTTATAAATGGTGCATTAAACCCAAACACTACTTCCATGTAGTATGCATTTTTGAATAGTGAAAATTAGGGTTCTTTTGAAAAAAAAATGCAATTCTGTCATCAGATTGAAATTAGTAGTTATGGCAGCAAACAAGGTGCTTTTTCTCTAATAAAATCTGGAGTTCCCCTCTAGATGGTAAAGAGTGAAAAGTTTTGAAAAGCAGTAAACATGAGCCAATTCTGTTAGTATTTCTGAATTTTAATTTAGATGCATATTAACCCGGAATCCAATAATAGCATTATCTTTCAAAAGCAATGTTAACAGAGAATATAAAAATGACAAGTTTTACTGCAAAACTACATCAACTTTAATTGGAAAAATTAATCCTCCTCTGCATGATTTCTTAATGTAAGTATAGGACCTGATGTCCATGGTTATGTTCATGAACCAATTAAGAGAAAGAAGGGTAGAGTACTATCATTTTGATTTTAACTGAGTTTATAAGCTGGAACAGAGTAATACAACTATATGTTTTATTGGATGTATATGAGGACATAGTATAAAGAAAGCCATTATTAAAATGTATAAGAAATGTCTTGCTATTGTAATAAGCAATCCCTCCTTGGTTTTCATAACTGTGTAGATTACATTTTGCTTATTCTTTTGGCTTCTGATTCTGGTTTGTTTGTTCTGTAAACATATAAATTAGCATTTTTATAATGGTTTTTAATTTTTAAGAGCACAATGTCATTCAAACACTCTGATGACAAGCAAAAAGACTGAGAGAACCTTCTACAGCAGGGGTGAGCAATATACAACTCAAGAGCTGCAAGTGAATCCCCCCCCCCCCCCAAAAAAAAACTTACTGTTTTTGTGACCAACAGATACTCCAAGGGGTCGAAACAGTTGGGGAGAGGATTGCTCCAGAATGCCTTCAAATGTATCCTAGAGGGTGTGGGGGGCATGTCCCCAGGTGTCAAAGGCAAATTTTGTAAAATTTCTCAAAAATATTTTTTGCCTCCAAATGCTTCAAACAGGTTCATTGCAATCATTTCCACCACATTTTGATGGCTCAGTTTTGAAACCCAAAATATGGAGAAAATGCCCAACATCTCCTAGAGATATTTGTGCCTATTTTTAAAAAATAATTTTTAATATTTCCTTTTTTATTTAGTGGAAGGAAATTCAACTCACCAAGATTTCCTGTGGGCTAATGTGGCCCCATGGCCTTTCACAGTTGCCAACCCCATTTCTAAACCATGGGCTTAGAAGCACTCTGTATATCCAGAGAACCCCTGAAGATGTCAGCCATGGATGCAGGTGAAACTTCAGGAGAAAATGCTACTAGAACACAGCCATAAAGCCCGGAAGCCATTCAACACCCCAGTGATTCCAGCCATAAAAGCCTTTGACAATACAGACTTATTGTTGTTCTATCTTAATAGGAAAGCTATACCTTTTTCAGTCCTTTTTATTGTGAGATAAAGAGAGATGAGAGAAAGTAATCAGGTATTAATAGTGCTGGCTACTTATATGAGTAGTGTGTTTGCTTTGCAGTAGGTATTACTATGGTCGCTGCCTTTTTCTCCCTTTCCTCCCAGCTCTTTGGATTAGCTCCTTGACAAGATCTCCATTGAAGAGATCAAAGAACTCGATGCAATTCAGTTAAGTTTCCTCCAACTTAAGTCTCCTCCAACTTCTCAGGCTGAGTCAGAAAAATTCAGAAGACAGTCACATGACAACTTGAATCATGACTCTGTTCCTTTGCATTCGATATGGTTTTTTAGGCCTAAAACCCTTGTTTGTTTGTTTTGTCTATCTAGCAGGGGAATAGAAAGGTAAGATATGAATACGGCAATGTAAATAAAAGTTAGTTGATCAAAGAGTCAAATTATTATATGCAAGATGGTGTTTCTTAAGATATGGTCTTCTTATACCAGGCTTTGGTATTAGACATTGATAGCAGTTAACGTTGATAGCAGTTAACAAAAACCAACAGGGTTGGGTTTTTTGTGTGTGTGTTTTTAATTTGACTTAATGAATCAACATAGTTAGATAGTCTGAACATTTTTACATCACATTTGTCAACACAGCTTTATTTCAAAATATTTTTGTGATAAATGTAACTATATTTCCTTAATTTGAGAGTGGTTCGGATGCTCATATTGTTCCACTATGAAAACAGTAATGTATATTATTAATAATCTCTTTGTTTTTTCCCCTCTTCTCTTCTTGTTTAGTTTTTGTTCATGATGTGATCATTCCCTTGTCACTATAATCTCATTACCTCATTATAAATGTTTTTGTAATTGGCGTACTCTATTTTTAAAGCTCCAGATAACTTTTTCCTGCAGACCTTTCTCTTCTCATCTCAAAAACCTCATACTCATGCTGTCAGAAACTCTTCTACTTCATTTTTCCAGTCTTTTCCATATACCTCCCCTTTACCTGGATGCTTTCCCACATCCTTCTCATTCATGCTTGACTATTTTCTACTTTTCTACTTTTTTTTACAAAGCAGCTTTTCCATGTATTTTCTTTGAAAGCCTCTCATTTATTATAAACTAAAAACATGTACAACTCAAAAGTTATCATTAAAAATTGTGTCAGCTTTGTTCTACTTCCATTATTAAAAACAATGAAACTAGACAAGATGATATGGTTCAATTTCCTGAACTTATTTGGTTTTATAAATGGCAAATGCAGCTGCAAATTGAGATCAGGTTTATCATACTGAAGCAGGATGTAAATTTTCATTCATAGCATTTTCCTAGCTAACATATCTTTCCCAAACTGATACTTTCCCCATCATCTAATGATGTATGTCCAAACCAGCCCATTCCACTGCATCCCACCTGCTCAGTTTGTCACTGAAAAGTACAAGGACAACCATCACATGTTTCCTGCCATCTTAATAATAATACTAAGGACTTGTACCCCCGCCTCCATCTCCCCAAAGAGACTCGAGGCAGCTTAACTATGGCACAAAGTACCTAAAACAGAGCATAAAATAAACATAGAGTGCAATACAATAAAGTAAAACATATAGCATATAAAAACGACAATTTAAAACTCAAACAACACCCATTAACCTATGGTGAAAATTACCATAAGACATGGCCAGACTGTAAACAAAACAAGGGAATGGAATAGTGCAAGGACATGGGATGACGTGCAGTGCTGTGTCATTGATTGCAGACCATTGGGAATAGATGTTCTCAAAGGCTTGTTTAAACATCCAAATCTTCAAATCCCTACGGAAGGAGGACAGTGTGGGGGCCTGCCTAATCTTCCTGGGAAGGGTGATCCAAAGCTGGGGGGCCACCATTGAGAAGGCCCTCTCCCTCGTCCCTACCAACCGCACTTGAGATGGTGTTGGGATCGAGAGAAGGATCTTCCCGACAGATCTTAACGCTCACAAAGGTTCATTTGGGGGGGGGGGATTGTCTAGCATTGCGCTGAATTTTCATCATGTTCTCATATTTGCTTGTTTTTTTTCCTTGTCTTGAATATTCTGGCCTGAATCCAGTTGATACTCTGAAGAGAGCAGACCCATTGAAACAATGGGATTTACATAAGTATTGATTTGCTAACCTTCCATCAGTTCAATGGCTTGCAATTACACTTCTATACATCTTTGCCTGCCTCATAATATTCTAGTTTCATTCATTATTCAGTAGTTAGCACTTTTAAGCAACTAAACAACAATGTGCAAGGAAACTGCAATGTCAAAGAAAGAATCATATACTTACATTAAATATACCAATTAACTGAGTATAAAAAAGTCCACTAATTCCAACCAGCATTATTAAACCCATGAAGGCAGATATTCGTGTCATGGCGAGTTCATGTCTAACAACAAAGAGATTCTATAAATAAAAAGAAATATAAAAAAGTTTAGTTTGCTGTAAGGAGAGAGATAAAAACAGAAAGTTTCTGAATTACAAAATATCAAGAAGAAATATTTAGTCATAGCAAGCACAACTAGAAAGTTTTCTAGTTTTGGAGGGAACATTTTACCCTCAAATCAAATCTTCTAAATCTATACAGCTCATAGGCAGTTCAACAAAAATGGAACAATGCTTAGCCAATAAAATGTGAGAAATATGAACTGGGGGAAGTTGCTATAGCAATGGTTCTCAACCTGTGGCTTCCCAGATGTTTTGTCCTTCCAGAAATCCTAACAGCTGGTAAACTAGCTGGGATTTCTGGGAGTTGTAGGCCAAAACACTTGGGGACTCACAGGTTGAGAACCATTGTGCTATAGGGTATTAAATAAAACATTTTACTGAATGTCACGTAGACATGAGGTATATTCCTTATTATAGTTCTACTGGACGTTATAAAGAAATTTCTAATTATGAAACTACTCTCTAGATAGTAGCTAAGATGTTTCATAATGCTCATTCTACCGAAAGCAGTGCCATTTAAAGTGAGATATAGCTACCCATGGCTATGTTCTAAAAAAGAGATTATTCCTATATATCATCTACTTCTCTGCAAGATTCACCATTCTATATGTTCGTGAAAAGAGTTTACTAGTCATTCACTAGTGATTGTTACAAATAATTAAATGTACCCACCTATTCATAGCAAAGGTGCAAAATAAAGGTAAAAACACCCAGCCCCGCCACCCTTTGACAACCCTGCTATTTATAAGAATTGAGAAAGAAAGAAATACACTACTTTTTAATTTATATCTCAACCTTTGAAGATATATATTCCTAATCTTACTTAGATAGAGAGATGGATAGAGAGAAAAGAGAAACTGAAAGGGGATAAAGTCTGCCTGTCACCAGTAGGTGGTCCAACAACTGGAAAACAATATATTTAGAAAACAGCTCCAATTAAATGTATGTATACAAGGAGTTACTTCCCAAACCAGAGAAGGCCAGGAAGTAGTCTACTCTTGTCATTCTAGACTGTGTCCCTTCTATTCCCTGAAAACTACCTAGTGAGAGAAATTTTATGTACATAAAGTTTTTCTAAAGTAAAGCTGAGCAGCAATCAGGAATAAAATTTTGAAATAAACTAGAGGGAAACCAAATCAATTAGAAACATTGCACTTCACCGATAAATCAAGAACAAGACCTGGCAACTTCTACATTCCTATTCACCCCCACGATGTGCCCTTTTGCTTCACTATTTACTGCCCTCATACAACATCAGATCCTTAAGCCACATCCCAGTTTCACTGCACTATCAATACAAGAGATGTGCATTTAATACTGCTTTTTAAAAAGAAAAGTTAGTTAAAACTTCAGTGCCATGATAAGAACAGCATCATCTTTTGGTGCTTTCATCCCAACTTTGAGGGAGATATTCAAAGCAGTGCCAAATTTCCAACTACAGTGCTGGAAGGTTTGCTGGGCAAATTATCTAGACCAGGCAAGCGCAAATGCCAGCCCTCCATGTGTTCTGGACTTCCCCACAATCCCTAACAGCCTAATGTTAAGAATTGTGGGAGTTGGGAGTCCCAAACACCTGGAGGGCCAAAGTTTGCCAATTCCAGGTCTAGACCTGAGAGCTTAAGCTAAATTAATAATCCTCCACAATCCAGCCTTTCCAGCCCTAGTGTAGAAATTCTTGAGGGAAGGATGTTGGAAGTTGCTGCCTGAAAATCTTTTGACAGGCTTTTCCTCCTCACTCCTTTCAGAAGAGCCTGTGTGGGTGAGGTTGGATGTCTCTCTTTGAACACAATATATCCCTTGCCCATGCTACCTCCAGAAAAGATGACAGCAAGGTTGTATTATCTACCTTTTGGGCAACCAATTAACTGTTCTTCCAGCTTATCCTCTCAGAGACATTTCTGACTAAACTTTCTGTAGGTGCTTACAGCACCTTCACATTTAGTCATTTTAGAATATTTTTCTAATGCTTAGATTTTGAGTGATTTGATTATGGAAAGATTCATTAGGTAAAGGTAAAGGTTTCCCCTGCCATTAAATCTAGTTGAGTCCGACTCTGGGCATAGTGCTCACCTCCATTTCTAAGCCAAAGAGCCGGCATTGTCCGTAGACACCTCCAAGGTCACGTGGCTGGTATGACTGCATGGAGCACCATTACCTTCCTGCAGAAGCAGTACCTATTGATCAACTCACATTTGCATGTTTTCAAACTGCTAGGCTGGCAGAAGCTGGGCCTAACAGTGAGAGCTCACCCCACTTCCTGGATTCAAACCAACAACTTTTCGGTCAGCAAGTTCATCAGCTCAGCGGTTTAACCCGCTGCGCCAGCAGGGGTCCCAACGATGCAATATATTAACAATTTTTCATTCCTCACCATCCATATTTTATCAGTACCACAAGAGGGCTGACAAACACAAAAATTGAAATGTGAACAGTACAAACACACACAAATGAATACACATACATGAATAGAGACAAGATACTGTCACTTCTCAACCATAATTGCAAAGCTTGTAAGGGTTTTTGGATTTCAGCTTCCATGAGTACGCACTGTGTGACTAGCAAATTCTGGGAGCCGTAGTCCAAAAAATACACATACAAACACACTAAACTCTACATAATTACACAAGAATGTGAGCACCAGCATGTGCCTCTTCATATTGGCATGTACTCCAAAATATATTTTTAAACAAACATATACCTATGCATACATCATTTCTCCACCCTGCATTAACACCAACAAGTTATCAAAGAACATGTAATCTTTTCTCTGAAATGTAGATTAAAAAACAATCATATTGTAATTCTTCCCTTAATGCTGACATGAGATATTTACTATCTTCTATCAAGTCAGCACAATGTGTTAGTGTTTCAAGATGTTTACATGAACACATGAGCATGAAAACATATATTTGACTCACTTTCTCTGGGAAATGGATACATGAGCTACCATTCCCATATCTTAATCTTTACAAAAGCGTGTTCATTTTTTTAAAGTAACACTAGAATTTACTGTCAGAGCTGGGTTCAGAAATGTTAGATCACTCCTTCCCATTTAACTTAACATTAAGAAATCATTGTGATTCTTCCTTTCTAAAATAACAAAATATATAAGCTATGGTGTGTAATCACATCCTCACATAGAGAAATGACAAATTAAATTCACCTCCAATTCCTCTGATATCCAAGATGTACAGCTACAGGCACAACTTACATTTGCAAATTTAAAATCTCACCATGTAGTGACAGCAGAAACATTTTTTATGAACCAGTTTGATCACTAAGATGGGCCGGGAAGGTCTGCTCTTGGTCCCACCACCTTTACAGATGCGATTGGCGGGGACAAAAGACTAGGCCTTCTCAGTGGTGACCCCTCAGCTGTGGAACTCCCTCCCCAGTGAGAATGGATCGGCCCCCTCCCTCCTGGTGTTCAGAAAAAAAATTCAAACCCTAACTATGCAAGCAGGTGTTCAGCGAGAGATAGTATTATTGAAGCAGCTAAATGATAACCATGGGACTAGTGCAATGTTTAATATGTTTTAGGTTAATGTTATAATGTGTCTTTGTATAGTTTTGAATGGTTTTAATCCATATTTATATGTTATTGATTTAGGTGTGTTACGTATCATTTTTTGTATGTATGTTCGGCATTGAATGTTTGCCAGTTTGACATGTTGTACATCACTCTGAACCCCTCCCCCCGCGGGTGAAAAGAGTGGTATAGAAATGCTATATATATATATAATTTCTAGTTCAACTGACTATGGGCAGGGGGAAGGTAGCCTGTTCAGATTTCCTTGGAAGCAAGTTTTGCAACCTGGGAGCAACTCTTGAGGAGGCCTTCTTCTCACCCATCTGATCTTTCAGTTATGGCTCTGGACACAAAGAGCCACATCAGATGTAAAAAGGAAAAGATGGACCCTTGAAGATACAGGCTGGATTGAAGCCATTTTGGACTTTGTAGATCAAAACCAGCACAGCTTTGTATGTGCCAGCACAGCCTTGTATGTTGTTATTGTATTAATGTTCAAGCGAAATTTAACATGATATAGACTACGTGGAGACTGAGACATGATTAGCTTCTCTTGCTGTATGTTGGATATCCAGTGTTTTTTCATGCTTCCCAGAAAGTACATTACTCTTTGTAAATATATATATATATATAAAGTCACCAGAAACAAAATAAGTAATGCTTTCTGGCAACATCCAATATTGAAAACCAACCATGTCCTAATAGCTCTTTGTAGTCATCTCTCGCAGTAATACTGCTCCTCCTACTGGACAAGCAGCTTTAATGTCTGCAGCCTCCCAAGCAAATCTTTTATTTAACAAGGGTTAGTTTTCAGTATCTAGCTTTTATCCTTCAACTGTTGGTTCTTGTTTAATCATGTGAATAATTATCCATTTTATTTAACTTCATATAGTTTAATACCTCAAAAATATAGTTTATTGAATTAAATATAGTGTATTAAATTAAAATACAGACTAAAATATAGTTTATTAAACTAAATATAGTTTAATACTCCATTAAAATAACAGAGATCTCGAGAATGAACAGTTGATTGAAAAGTCATACATCTTGGCATAAAGTGAACATGTTATGAAGAGAAATTTTAAAAGTTGATTTTTAAGTGAGAATTTTAAAATGACTTTTTTGCACATTAGATACTCATACCATTTTAATAAGCTATAAATCAAATGTTTTATACAAACAAATCAATTTTATTTTTGCCTGTACATGCCACAGATATATAAACCCCATTTTCCTAGTTTCCAACAGACCTCACAACTTCTGAGGATGCCTACCATAGATGCAGGCGAAACGTCAGGAGAGAATGCTTCTGGAACATGGCCATACAGCCTGAAAAACTTGCAACAACCCAGTGATTCCAGTCATGAAATCCTTCAACAAGACATTCAATTTTATTTGATTACAAAAGTGAGATCCTAAGGGCTACAAT